ATTACATTTTAAACAATAATATTCATAATAATAGTTATTTATGATATAAATATAATTGACAGTTTAATTTGTTCATCGCATGTTATCAACAATCTTTTAGTAGATTTTGGGAATACATTTAATGTAAAGTTTCATACGCCAAACTTTACACAACAGCACTCGTGCAACGTTTGGCTTACTGATTATTTTCACTGTGTACTTATCATATGAGGAGTAGGTAACCAGAGTAGATCGTCCCAAATACACCTGAACGCTATCAAACTGTTTCGAAAAATTTGCTATTTTTTCAAGTTTTTATATTATCTCCAATAACTACTACTTACCATTCATCTTTATATTTTTATATGATTTTTCGATTATATAAATAAAATCAAAGCCCCATAGTACACTCTGGGTTTTGGCAATATTATTTAGTGAAAAACTTATCATATTCTCGTCGTATCTCAGTTTTCCCCAATATATGGGTAGACATTCCCATGGTTGCTAACTTCTCACATGAAAGCATAATATGAAATATGCATATTAAATATTGCTACGATTTTTGAACTGATATTATATGACAGATGCATCTTATTACTTTAGTAACTTTACTTTCAGGTATTGGCCGAGTTAGCACTGATTGTATATATTCAAGTAATTTAATATTTGTCAAAAACTGCAATGTACAAATTTCATAATTTTGTTTTGCTTAAGACCAACTCTTATATGTTTGTATAAATGTAATCGATATCCATAAATAAAGTATGTCTACTTATATTATTTTACATTAAAATGAAATTAAAAATTTATTCGTTAGTGTTTTAATATAGATGTTGCATATTGCAATTGCAAATGAATAATGTTTATTGATTGACTTCCTATAGGGTAATTTATCTATGGTTATGGTAATGGGCCGAAAATCTAAAATGAAAATTTTTGCATGTTTTGAAGGTTTCTGAATATTTTGGCATACCTTTTAATTAGAATTATTTTTTGTATGCCCGCATTTTTTCGTTTCGGGCGCACGGATCAACCCGATCAACCGATTTGATTGACTGGTTCAAAAAATATTCGATTCCTATTGATAGGGAGATTTGCTGATTAGTTTTTGGCAAGGCAGGTCCAGCCGTTACGGAGATGCGGAGCAAAGAATGCAGAAAATGCAAATCGAGATTTTGAGAGAACGAAGCATCCGATTTGAATGATTCCAAAAATTCCCTGCTTGTGTTGACCACAAAACAATAAACCCCATTTAGTTTGTCTATATTTTGTCTGAAAGTTTTATACACTTTCTACAGAAAACATAAACATATCCAATCCAAGTCTTTTTTGGTATTTCAACTTATTGATTACGTTTTAAGCTTTTTAGATTCTTTTTGGATTCGGGATTTTGTGTATAGTTGTAAATAATACTACTGAGCTTATACAAATTTTTCAAATTTCTGCGAGGAGATATAGAAAATGAATTAAGTATTTCTTCTTTGACCTACTTTTTGAAAAGTTTCAAGTAATCAAGTAAGTTCTATGTGTGTGACTATTTCAAAAAAATTTTTTTTTGTATATCGAAAATAATTCAGATTTTAATTTTAATTATTGCTAAAGTTCTAAAGCTCACTTATATACTTTAAATGAATAATTTTATCTTTGCAATTTAGTTTATATAATTCTTATAAATATTTGTCATTTATATTGTTTAGACAATGTTATAGCAGTATTAATAATAATTTATTTGAAAACATTTAATATTCCTCGAACATTTCGTTACGGTACGGCAAGTTCCAGCAACTCATTCGAAAAGGTTGGAAACCACTGAATGAGTATTCTCTGGGGTCAATGTCACTTTGACAGATCGAGGCGTTAATTCGTTTCACATTTTTTAAATGTTGGTACACAGGTTGTATATTTTGTGATTGTCAAACATGGGGAGTTATCTCCGAACAAATGCTCGTTACACTGTTTTGGCGAGGATTAATATTTTTAGCGAAAAAAAGATGTCGCTACTTGTTTCAATCTCATTAATCGAAAAGAAAATAGATGGCTGAGCGGAAATTAATCGCCATTTTACCTTCTTATATAGTGAAGCCGGTGAAGCCGTAGTGAAGCATTTATTTACGTTGTGAAGTATTTTGTTTATAATTAATTGTGTTCAAGGAATTATTATCAAATTAATATGGCAAAGTGCAGTGAACCAAATTGTGGTAACTCCAGAAATAATATAAAGTTGCATGTCTTTCCGGCATCTAATGATCAGGTATGTATATAATGATGTATTGTGTTTATATAATAAATTTGTATAATAAAAATATAATGAAAATGTTTTAGATGTTTTCAATTTGGGTGCAGAGGACGAATAATCCTTTAATGGACGATTTAACTCCATTATATTGTGGCAAACGTTGTTATGTCTGTGATGCGCACTTTACAAATGTTTGTAAAGTTGAAAATTTGCCAAAAAGTTCGAAGACAAATTTGAAAATTAATGCCCTACCGATTTGTTGGGAATCCTTACCTAGAAGAGAATTGTCTCCTGGATAAACATAGATTCCGTAAGAATAATAATAAAATTTATATATGTATTGATAGTTAGATTTTAAAAAACTTATATTATTTTAGAACTTGGTGTGTCGATTCACAAATGTAATGTGAAAGCATAGACATACCGATTGTCAAAGAATATTAATCCCATCTCAGGTAGATAAATACAAGTTGTTTAGACATTAATTTTACATGATATTGTTGCTCACTTAACTCAGGTACTCTACCTTTTTTTTAATAATTTATACATTAATATGCTTCCTTTGTTAGCTTCTTTGAGCATTATGGAACTTACTTATGGAACACATACTTTTTGCAGAAAATTACTGACAAATTAATGTTACATTTTCAGTTAGGAGATGGAGATCTAAAAACCTCAGAAAAGATTTTTGCAGTACCCCAAAGATTGTCAAGTGCGGGTTAAAAGAGCCACCTATTCTGACACCAGTTTCCCGCAAAGGTATTTTTTATAATAATTACAGCAATAATAATTAATTTATCAATTGTGATATTACAACATGTTATTATATTTAATAGATGTCCTAGGAGGTAACTGCAAATTGCTTCAGTATTCACTGATTAAACGTAGAAGTGCTTTAACTTTTCGTTGCTTTACACCAGGAGGTGTAAAATGTATGATACATCCAAAATTTTGTTCTGGGAGATAAGAAGAATTAACAAACAATGTAATAATTTAAGGGATAAATTGCAACAAAGTATACAATGTTCTGAAAAGTTTTCAAATATTCCGGAAACACTAAATGTAAGGGCAAGAAATTTTATATTGTCTCAATTAAGAGAGCATACTAAAAGACCGAAAGGAAGAAAATTCACAGACGAGGACAAAATTCTTGCTTTAAGTTTGTATAAAAAGTCTCCAAAGGCTTACTACTTTTGGAGACAAATATTTATTTTGCCATCTCCTCAAACATTGAGAAAGTTGCTTTCAGAGATACCTTTGTATAGCGGTATAAATGAGTGTCTTTTTAATTAAGTTCAGCTATTTCTCATAAAAAGTATGAGAGTAGCAAATACTGTGTTTTGATGTTTGATGAAATATCACTATCTTCAGAATTGTCATATGATCGTAAAAAGGATCACATTGTTGGTTTTGTAGAGTTAGCAAATGGCAGAAAATGTTTATTTCCGGATCATGCACTTGTTTTCATGATTAAAGGAGTGAAGAATCGTTGGAAGCAACCAGTTGCTTTTACTTTTCTGAAGGTGGGGTTAATAGTTCTGATTTAAAATCTCTTATTGTTGATGTAGATGAACAATTGCACGTGCATAAAACTTTTTTCTGTTCATAGTAAACACAACTTTTTGATCTTTTATGGCAATTTTGATGATAACGTTTTCATCATGATCATGACACGGTTGAATGTAATGTTTAAAAAAACATTCATATAGAATCTATTCAAAGATTTCGTCAAATGCAGCTTTATTAATGATTGATTAGATAGCAAAATAACTATTAAATGCAGAGTTAATAAAGAAGAATGTCTCGTAAATGAATTTTAATCCTAGGAATTCAGTTTACTCTCAATTTTGATATCAATATATTTATATATATATAAATATTATTTATAATATTATTATATTATGTTCTTATGATTTTTTGTTTATGAAGTATTTGTACTTTTTAACAAGTTATTTGTTCTTTTTAACTTTTTAAATTTTTGCATTATTTGTGATTCCTTCTGAATTTGTTATTCCGAACTACACAATCTCTGTTATATATTATTGATCATTAAGTAAATCATATTGATCGTTCCTTGTAAATTTATCATACCATTGTGAATACTTTTTTAGTTATTTATAAATGTAAAATTATAATACTTATTATTGTGTATATATTGATTATTACATTTATAAAAATTTAATTGTTATGTAAAAATGTTTGTGATATATTTGAAAATATATTTTGTACTTCGTATATTTTTTTTCTCATTTCCAATATAAGAAATTATTTAGGTTTTCTTATTTTGAATTACGTATGCGAACCATATCTAGGAATAATACCAGCGGTTGATTTATATACTGAACAAGTGCTGCCTCCTTTAGATCGCTAAAAATATTAAAATGGCGGTAATGTCAAATGGCCTCAGATAGCGATCTAGTTATGTTTACTTATCTATGATTGTCAAATTAGCAGCTTTAGCTCCATGTGAATAATAATAATATTTAGTCATTAAAGGAGTAATAAACTAAATAGAAGATTTTGCATATGTCTGGATTCGAAACTGAAAGAAATTTCGAGTGTCTCAAAATTTGTATTTTATTTTGTCAACATTTCTTATGCAACATTTCTTATGCAGTTCAATGACAGTTGTGCATTGTCAATTACATCGGTCCGATCAATTTTGTTAATATTGGTCAACATGAAGTTAAATTATAATTATATTATAATATAATATTTTTATAGATGTACAATGAATTATTTATAATTGTCCATTATGGCATTATCGGGGTATAATAAAATATATATGAATAATTCATAGTGTTCAAGAAAACTATAGTGATATGTTACTTTTAAAGAATAATATATTTAAACATTTTAATATGTTTATTTTAAAAAGAGTGTTTATATAAAAAAATAACTTAAATATGTCTTATACTGAACTTGAAAGTGGTTATCAAGGTCTAAGGGAATCAAACAGACCGGCACAATTTTTTGTTGGTGAAGATGGAAATTTTGTGTCAATTGATAACAGCAAGGTAAATCTTTATAGATGATATAATATAACAAATAGTTGATCGTTTGGGCGGTTTTGTCAGTAATATTTCTAAGAAATATTCTGTAAACTAACATAGCCACTTAATTATTTGACAATCTATAAGTTTTATTTATGAACTCAAATTATTTAATTTGTTTTTTTTTTATCCTTATCTTGACAATTACCACGTTTAATTGGCATGTGGGCACATCATAATAATCACATTTATAAGAATAAAAATAAAGGTGGAGCTCAGCTCGTCATAAATTACATTTTAATAGTTACACGAATAAGAATTCGCTGATAATGAACACAGTATTGAACTAAATTTACTTCCAGGGATGAAATGTAATATTAGGTCAGAAGAGTTTATTATTTATATGTCGGCTACATGAATAATGTGATATCTTTGAGATACATAATAAGTATCTTATAATAAGTATCTTCCATGTTTATTAGACTCATCATGATGAGACTTTTGAAATACGAATAAATTATGTATGAGAATTTAAAATATTAGCATCTAAATAAGGAATCTGATTCAAAGCATGTTAGAATTAGATGTTGGTTCATATCGTTATTACATCCATAGAAGGAGCCGTATGCCAATTATATCTTGAAATTACCCTTCATTCTTCAAAAAGAGGATCATATGTGGATTAAAAGACACAATCTTCAATTTTACCATTGAGAGTAACACAACAGTAAAGTAAATTCAAATAAATTATTCGGATAATTGTACTTATTGTATAGTTTGCTATGTAAACTAAAACAAAAACAAAAAATCTGAACTATGTGATACCAATAAGACACATTATTTATAAATTTTAAGATTTTCTATATTAAATTAATACTTCTATTCTTTCATATTTAATTTTAATGTTTCTCATTGCTATCTTACTAACTTGTATCCAATAATCAACAGATATAGAGTACAGAAAGCTTTGTGCATAAAATCAACTTGCTGTTAACCATATTTTTAATTTTAATTTGTTCTGATAAATATTTAATTTGCACTGAACAATCATTGTTTTTGTTTAGGTAAATTGTCTATTATATCATATTTTAAATCAATAAATTTCTATTCTATTCTATTCTATTCATATTTCTCTGAGATACTATTGTTTTATAATCTCACAAACAATCAGTAAAACAAATATATATCTCAACAAACACTCACTAGTTAAGCATATTATATCAAGTCTTCAAACAAACAGTGTCTATTATTCTTGCTCCACATATTAATTTGGAAAATAAATGTTTTAATAAAGTATAAGAGCAATTAAGACTTATTCATAGATATTTGCAAAATCAAAAGTCAAGTTTGATAGGAACGTTACAAATATGGTTCATATATAATAATTTGATTTTATCTTAGAATAACTAGGCTTAGTTTATGTGTAGTGTTTTGTATAAAATCTAATACAGTGACTCAACATAATACTGTGAAATCATTGTCTTAATTTTATTCTTATTGTTAAATAAGTCTTATATGTTATATTAAAATTTTTCATTTTATCTTTTTAGGCCACTGAATCTGATTTATGCTCAGATTCAGATGCAGAAGGTTCCATGGCAGAAGGCAAGCAAGTTGTTGTTGGAGTATGTGCCATGGCAAAGAAATCACAATCAAAACCCATGAAAGAAATTCTAACACGATTAGAGGAATTTGAGTTTCTTAAAATCATTGTTTTTCCTGAAGAAGTAATTTTAAAGGTATATAACTACTATACCTTATATATTTAAATTGAAAAAATTGGGTCTGTAAAATGTAATTTTAATTTGTTTTATATATTTGTTATTTGCAATTCACATAATTCACAGATTAAATATAATTATGAAAAATAATGTATGTCCGCTATAAATATATAGATATATTCATATAATTGTAGGTATATATCATTAATTTATTTTAGACTCCTGTTGAAGACTGGCCAGTTTGTGATTGTTTAATATCATTTCATTCCAATGGATTTCCTTTAGATAAAGCTATTCAATACGCCACCCTCCGAAATCCATATGTAATCAATAATCTTCATATGCAATATGATATTCAGGTAGGAGAGTTCTTTTTAAATACATATAATGATGGTTAAAAATATTACATAAATATCAGAATCAAGTTTTTCAATTTTAGTTTTTTGTGCACTTGAAAATTTTATCATACTTTATTTGATTTCGAAGTTATTTATTCAATATCAAACATATATTGGCTAGTTTAAAATTGAAGTATCATGAGGTTCATATATGTATATATATATATTTTATATTTATTTATTTATTTATTTATTTATTATATATATTAAATTATGATTTATATTAATAAATTCATACAAACTTATAGAATTTTATTTAATGAAAACTAAAAATTATTTTTAAAAAACGAAACAAAGTTAATAATGAGTTTTAATTTAATCATGAGAATAAGCACTAAAACTAAAATTGAATTATGTACATTGGCTCAACTATTGTTCTAAGAATTTGTTTTATCTTCTTTGTTTACCCAAATCATTTCAAATTGATATCACATATTTAAATATGTTATTATATTGGTTTAGTGTTGATAAGTTTCTTATAGGTGCATATTTAGATTAAATGTAAATATTTAATGTTCTTATACATAATATTATTAATTCTAAGATATGGTTGAATATAATATTTATGATACTAAAAATAATTTTAAGTACTATTCTTTCATGTAATAAAAAAGATT